CATTGTGTTCCCATAAAAAATAACAAACGCATTAAAATAGATTAGTTTATTTATAATTTTATGCTGGACACCATTAACATGGTAAAATAATTCTAAACTACGTTACCGTAAAAGGATATAAGCTAATGTTTACAATCTGTTAGAAAGTTTTCGATGTTTACATTTTTTAAGTCATCGTTTCACCTCAGACAATTTAAGGCCACAACATTGCTATAATTTTTAATTTTATACAATTAATATTATCTGATCCATAATGTAAATACTATATAAAGGTTGCGTACATGTATAGCACTAGTAACACTGAGGACTGTATTGATGTTGTAAAAAAGGCTCATTCATAAATCATGAATTTTGAAGGTTGCACTGTTAATCAGCCTTACAAAGTGCAGGGTCCTACAGAATGAAAATAAATTGTAAACTGTCCTAAATTTCCACACCCTTTGTCCAAAGGTTATATGATTTTATAAATGTTGATGCAGTAAACTTCAGTTTCAGTAAAATCTCTTACAGGTATGTAGTTAACACCGAATTATTCGCGGTATGTAGTCTGGGACTTGTACATTTTCATTTTAGGGCCCCAAGAAGACAAAAACTTAGTTCATTCATATTATTTGACATGCATATTTGCATATTTAGTGTAACAAAAAGTGTTAATAAATTAAAATAAATATTTCCTAATTTCGTATACCGATACGGAAAGTAAATAAAGATACGTCTTGTAACACTTAAAAGTTTTATAAGACTTTTTAAGTGTTATAAGACGTATCTTTATTTACTTTCCGTAAATTTTATAACACGTACAATGCTGATCAAGAAATTATTTAGTATACCGATAGTCCAATTTTTGTGCCAAATTTTTATACAGACTAAAATGATTTAAGTCAAATTATACAACGTTTTGGATTAAGTCTCAAGATTAGAACTAAATCCTAAATCGATGATATGAAAAGCATTAACAAAAAGGCATAACAAATAAATTTCCGAGTTTCACCCTAAACATGCCTCTTGCGTTTACAAACCATAATAAAAGGAAGATATGCTGAGACAAAAGAGGAGAAGTAATGTCCTTCATGTTTAGTGAGCTAATTTCTCTAGATTTATCCATGAAGGCACACCGCATGTTTTCCCATGTTTTCATGGGTCGTTCAGAAATCATCCAGAATAAGTCATCAATAAATATTATGTAGTAAATGCATGCATTTTTAAATAGTGTTCTATTTGAAAATCTGTCATGAATAAGATCCTTATTTTGCGTATTTAAATATTCGATTTTCCTGTCGTCATAGACCATGAGTAAGGTATGAAAGGGCAACAAATAGTATCTCTGTATCTCCTGCTATATATCCCATTTTAGGTTATTAACAGACAATTCGTAATACAGGACTTTGGGAACCTTAAGCCTTAAGTGTAAAAAACTTGAAATAACAATATTAAATCTAGTATCTAAAGGAACAAGAAACAACCAGTAAAAAGATGTTCTTGACGAATTTATTTTGGCTACCCAAGAAGATAAAAGTGTAGAACCAATTGAAAATACTAGTTTTATGGGAAGTTTCTGTCATGACACCGAGCGGGTAGCTTGTTCTTACGTTGATTTATATTTCACGTTTATTATACCATTGTTATGAAAATCATAATGGTACTGTGAATTAATCTATTAAACTTTTCAGTGTTAATCATTATGTAAAATTATTGTATCTTATTTCACTTTGTTGGTCAATTGTTAATTTTATTAAGCGTTAGTGTGTAACAGCAGTTAGTGTGTACTGTGATAATGCTTTTGCTCGTAGCTTTTAAATAAACACGCATTTCTATTTTTTTACATTTGAATTTGTACATTGCATCTACATATTGCCACGCATGTAATTGTTTGTACAAATTCAGTTAAAAAAAACGAATGAAAATGAAACATCAAAAAGCTTTTATAAAACATTCGAGATAAATTTTGCTGTTTTCCCGAGAAACGATTTGGCTCAAGTTTGCACGTATATTCTGGTCTGGGTCTGGGTGGTCAACTTGGACTGGGAGGATGGGATGCTGATCCAGTAACTGCTCCAAGGTCGATTTTTGGATCCGCCCCGCAGATGACATTTTGGTTTCGTTTCCACAGATTCCGTTATCATTATGCAACAGATGCTCTTTCCGAAGAACCGCACCCGGGTCGACATTACCAGATTTAGATCTTCCCAGTGGGTGCGGCTTCTTCTGCTGCCCTACATCGGTTCTTTCAAGGTTGGTATCAACATCAAGTACTGAATAAATTACTTATAAAGTGTTGGAAAATAGTCGTTTCGGTGAATCATGGGTCATTTTGCGTCTACCCTTTGTTTTAACTTCCCTCAATTTCCTAATGTTAAAATAAAAACAACAACCTTGTAAATGGAGTTTGTTTTGTAATAGTTCGAGGTTCTTAGTGGTGTACGCAAACTTCGTCTATCAAATTCCACTATCTTAAAGGTCAGGCCTTTTTTCATCCTCGTCAACATCAACCTGGCGGGTTGTACGCAGTCTTCGCTAAATTCCAACTGTACGCAAATTTCGCTGTACGCAAACTTAGCGACTACGTTTTCATGTAATATTTTTTACGTACGACAGTTTTTAGCGAATTTCCCATATAGGGAATAAACTATTATCGTAATACTCATGGTAAGACCGAGTCCCGGGACCGATTTACTTTTTCATTTTGTTCGTTAATACCTACAGAATAATCTTTTACAATATCATCCGTGTTTTTTATGTATCACTAGAAATTTTTATATATCGTGAATCAATGCTTAGATTTTAAATTGACTTCCAAGGCGCTGTTTGGTATCCTAGAAAAGAAGTATTAGTCAACAGATTGGAGCTATCAGGCAAATGATCACGTCCGTATGTGGTTGAATTTACTTCGGTTAAAACACATCTGACATTTTGCACTTATTCGATTTGCAGCCAGCAATGACTGCCCACATTTCTATTTCTGGGCTTCATCAAATGTCAAATATGGGGCTTACACAACCCCTTTACCGGTACTTTCAATAATGAAGCCAAGGTGATTCAAATTGGAAAACCGTAAACCGATTTCCGCTGGTCGATTGCTGGCGGAAAACCGCAAACTACTTTGCTCCTTGGCGAATTGGTACTACAGTGCCATTACTTGGGACTACAAGTGTAGATTCTTTATTATCGATTGAAAATATACTAGTAAATATATTTTGATGGTACTGAATGGTCTGATTTTAATTTTGCAAGATTCGTGCTATGATTACTGAGAGTCACAAACATATGTTGATGAAACAACTTGAGTTTTGAACTGCTTTGGTAATTAATTATACACAAAGGATTCAATATTGCTGGAGGTGCGTAGCCTATAACACCAAACCAAGGGTTGTTGGCTTGAAAGGTAAATTGCTGTGATCAGACTGTAAATTGAGCAATCATTGATTGATCTAGAGTGAATAAAACCACCTCGAATGTAGACGAGAATTTAATTTGTGGTTTCATAATTTAATTTTAAATAACAGTGTAGACAATCCAGCTAGTTTAGCCATCATAGCATTTTATAGCCTATGTAGGCCTAGCATTACTTAACAATTATAGTGGTGAGAATGGATTGTTATGTATTGTTCAAAATATTGATTGCACTAAATCAACACTAACACCTCGAGTGTTGGAGGCGACCATTTTCTTTCAGAGAATTTTCCATGTAGGGAATAAATTATTACCTAAGGTCGTATGGTAAGACCTGGACCCGGGACCGATTTACTTTTCTTGTTTTGATTTCCCCAGAAGCTAAAAGCACCATCCGTTCAAATTCATATACAGTGTGTGTGTCCGTTAGCGTGATAACTCGAACAAAAATGGTCCAATTTTGATTAAATTTGAAATAAACGAGTAAACCTACATTTATTCGAACGAGTTTACGAACCAACATGATCGGACTATCGGGCTTTGTGTGAGATTCAATAAGTAAAATGAGTTTTCCCATTTTCATCCTAAAAACATATAATTGTTTAAAAAAATAATTGTAGAGCTTAAAAACAAATAATAAAGTATATTGAAGTGTTGTTATGCTTTTAATGGTTAGGGGCAAATACAAAATTTAAAAAATCCCATATTATTGAGAATGAGTAAACTAGTGTAGTTTGCTTGTGTAGAACGCACTTTTTGATCAAATTTTTAAAATGTATTTATTTCATACTGAGCTATTGCCATTCTAATACAGTAAAACTAAAAACGACTTTATTACCTTTCCTGTAGCAGCAAACCTAAGTACTTGTTAAACAAATTTATTTAAATTGGGAATAAATATGACATTTTAAAGGAAATATTTAAGTGAAAATCCGACCAGGCTCATGGAAATTCGCTTAGTCTGCAGGTTTGATGCGGTAGGGATATTTTATTTTATTGTATTAAAATCTATTTTATGTGAATCACGCTATAGTGTACCTACAATATGAGACAATTTTAGTTCGGAATTTTAGTAGGGCTTGGTTAAAAAATGTTATATACAACAGAAATGAGTATTTACAGCCTCTACTAAACTAAACTACGCTAATTTGTCAATAAAAATGTATACAACCATTAGATTATTATTTTATCACCTACCGTACTCAGATGGGAACCCAACTAGGCGTATTTTAACCCAAATGCGAATGAAGGATGAGGATAGAATGAATTTCACGTTTTGTAACTTTATTATTGGCTAAACAAGCTGTTTCTCTAACCAGGAACAATATATTTAAAACATAGCCTAAATAATTAAGAATACCTGACTTTTAACCATTAGAAAGCTATTTACTTTACTCAGGATCGAACCGGCAACCTTTGGATTGCTAGGTGAGCACTGTAACCATTCAGTTTACGTGCTCCAGCAAACTTTACTGGTCTGTTTCGAAACAACGATTTTTTTGTCAACAATAGTATAGAAACCAACTGTTTCATGTGATTAGTGGTAAAATATAGTATTGCTTAACAAATATAAATATAGTATTGCTTAACAAATATAAGTTTCAACAAACCTTTCCTCTGGGCCAGTAGCACCTCCGTTCGTTCTCTGACAAACAAGCCATGTCCTCAGGTTCAGTTCTGTACGCCCAGTCGATGGAGGTGCCAAGGAAGTTGAGGAACATGGAGGGTACCTGGGTGCCTGTGGGTTCATTCTCCCCGGCCTCCACCAGGAGTACTCGCCAGTGGGGCACCTCCGACAGTCTACTAGCGACCACGGCACCCGCGGACCCGGCACCGACGACGATGAAGTCGTACTCTCTGTCGGGCAAGTCGCGGGACACGGGACGGCCGCACGGGTCCTCCAGGTCACACTGGGAGCGGATGAACACCTCCAGTAGCCCCATGAACAGCATGAAGGTAGAACCCCCACACGTGCTGGCCAGGGTCGGCCCCGGCTGCGTCACCGGGCAGTTGCAGTTCATCTGGAAAGAACAGATTCTTAGAAGATCTCCAGAAATATGTTAACAAAATCGGAATGTAATAACTCTAAAATGAAAATGAAACCTCAGCGGAGAGTAGGTCCGTGTGGTTTTTGTGTAGTTTTGTGTTCTTTAGCTTTAGCTGGGTTTGTGTATTAATTTTGTTTTGTGTGTTCATTCTGAAACGTGACAAAGTGGGCTTTCTTGCACTGATTATAGTACAGAAAGCTGCTAATTGCTGCATTTACTTACTTTGGTGCACACTTATCACTTTGTTGTACATCAGTATTCCAACCAAACAACACAAACCAGTGTGCTTTTATTATGCACGTACTCCGTGTACGCTTTGAAATACTTTGGCAACACTTAAAGATGCTACGACTACGATCAGGTGGTGCAGCGTTTCCCATTTCGTCAATGTTTCGATTTAACCTAAGTGTTGTATAGTGTTTGAAACAGTAATTATTAATACGTTTTATAGTAACTGTAGGAAAATATAATGTGTAGCGCGAGTGCACTCGAGAAACTTTTACACTCCCCGGCTCGTGCGTAAACATTTCTCTCTTCGCCCACTAGTTACACAAATAACTATTAAACAAATTGCCAATTAGCTATAACAATCAAAACTATTTCCAAGAATGTTTAAACTTTTTGATCTACGGAATACAGGGATATCGATTCGGAAGGTTTGATGTTCTCATAACACTTTTTTCTGATAGTTTTGTTCAGTCATTGTAATATGAACCCTGTACTAATGATGCTAAAATTATAATCTTCGCCCATACCATCGGAAATTGACCATGACCAGAAGCACTAGAAGGACTTCAGTTTTAATGTTAAGCTCGGACTTTGACTAGACCTTGCTGAGCTCACATTAACGCATACAATGAGCACTTCACCAAGTTGTCTCCGACTTCAAATTATAAAGTAATAGACCTTGATTCCTTTACGCTCCATTGGCTAGGATAACTACCTCCTTCCACGTTTTAATGAGCATACAGTCATATTGCAGTAAGGTAGAAAGAAGGTAGTAAGAAATGTATTCGGTAATGAAATAAAACACTAATTGCTTCTTACGTAATAAAATATATCCGACATGAATTCGAACCATCGGAGAAGACTTAGAAATGGAGAAACTTATCATACCTTTAGTAGTTTAAAGTTTTAAAAGTATAGCCACTCCAAACTTGAAAGGAAAGTTTGTGTGTCATTTTATCAATCGTTATACCCTAGTGCACACGTTTTTAGCGAATTTCCCTATAGGGAAGTAGCTATTACCGTAGGTGGCACGGTAAGACCTAAGCTCGGGACCGATTTGCTTTTTCATTTTTATGTCCCCAGAGGCCAAAAACACATTCGTTATTCAAATGAGTTCGCGAACCAGCATGATCGGACTGTAGGAACAGGGGTTTATGGGGGGTTTATGGGATAAAAATAGGTTGTCCCCATTTTTGACACTAAAAACACAAAATTTCACAATTTCTTTCCAAACTAATTTGTAGAGCTTAAAAATACAAATAATTTAGTACATTGAAGCGTCATTGTGTGCCTAATGGTTACGGAGGAAATTCCAAAAAAATTAAATTTGAAATTCCCATGTTATTCTTATGGAGAATTAGTCAACTGTTGTAGTTTGCTTGTTTCTTAACATATTTTGATCGCATTTGGAAAATACATTAATTTCTTACTAAATTATTAACATTTTACAACAAAAACACTTTTTACCCTCCCTGTTGCAGCAAACCTAAGTTCTCGTTAAACTAATTCTATTTAAATAGGGAATCAATGTGATATTTTTAAGGAGGCATTTTAGTGTAAATCCAATCAGTCAAATGGAAATTCGCTTAGTCTGCAGGTTTGCTGCGGTGGGGGTATTCTGGATTTTGCAAGATCTGTTTATTTTACTATCTTTTAGAATACATAAAAATCTATTAACTGTATGTGTTAGCTTAAAAAGTCAAGTCTATCGGGTTTTACTACCACCCACACGTTTCTTAAATTGTAAGAGTGAGATACTGGTTGTGGTTAGAAGTGTAGTTCCTGTTTTTTGTAATGAGAAAAGACAATTTATTAGAAACATGCTACTTTGACATTATAAATTCCATCAGTACATTCTATGACATATTTTGTTTGGATTATTGTATTCTGTAAAGTGAATTGTAAAAAAAACATTTATGTGACGATTTTGTTTACCACAATTCAAGTTTCACTATGCGATTTTCTTTACTGGAATAACTTAAGAGGCAAATGCATTTTATAAACGCAACCTCATTTGTGGAAACAGTTTATTACACTCTTTTAATTTATGTTTTCAATTTGATTTTATGGTCTCTATTGTTCTTGAGTGATGAGGCTGATTTCCATCTTTTGAGATGAGTCAGTAAGCAGTGCATGTTTTACTGGAGCCCACTCAAATTCAGACCATTTCTTAATGAGGGAAAAGTGTCGTTCCAGCCACGAATGATGCTGTCTGCCAAAACTTATGAAATCGAGTGAGACAGTGCATTCAAAATAGTGAACGCTATTTGCCCGACACATTTTTTTAAACCGAGTAAACATAAGTTTCCAATACTATTCTGTGTGTTGTATTAGGAAGAACAATTTTATCTGTACAAAATTACAAGTGTTGTAATAAGTTCCTGCCCTGATCTGTACAATTACCAAGCTCCTGGTTTGTCAAAGATGACAAACTGTTTTCGTTCATTTTGGCAATAAAGTCTCGAAATGGTGATGTCGTATAGTTTGCTACATGAGAAAGCAAAATCTTGACCTTCTTGACCTTAATCGCCACCATGGCCTTCATTGTAATATCAATCTCTGATGGTGCTAAAATGGGATACTTCTACATTCTCCTGAAGGTTCGAATTTTGCAATACACCTTTATTTTAAGATACTATTTTCTCGTGAAACAATCAGTTTGAAGTTTTTTTCAAGCTTAAAACACATCTATCAAATTTAATAGAAAAATACTCCTCAATCACTAAAAGAACCTCCTCAATCCTATTTATTAGTTAAATGTTGTTGGTTATGATTTTTTGCTATTTAAAGAATTATTTCGGGAATTTTTCTTTGGATCAATAAAACAAAGTTTTCATGACGGTTAGAGATCTGGAATCTGATCCCGTGCTTAGGTGAGAAATTCTGTTGGATTTATCTTTGAATTTGTTGATTATTATTGTATGGAATTATTCAATCTTATATCCTCGAGACTTGTAGCAAAATTTATAAATTGTTGTAAATTGTGTATCCATCGGAAGAATAAATAAATCTAAATATATAAAAGGCAAAGCCCTCACTGACTGACTCACTCACTCATCACTAATTCTCTTACTTCCCATTTACCTAGGAGGATGAAATTTGGTACACTGATTCTTTAGGCATTAAATAGGAAAACTAAGCTGTTTTTATTCTGATCGGACTCTCAGGCTCAGTGGCTCTGGAGTTTCCCATGTTAACCCTATGAGTACTCTTATTCAAATGGAATCAATGAATCTTGACAGCTGTTTCAATTAAACAAGTTGGTTCTGTTCTATGATGTTCAATAGCATTACAGTTACATGGATTACCAACAGGGTGCAGCACTATTATTATTTTTTTATTTATGACAACAGCTAATTTGCAACCAAAAGGTGAGTGAGCGTAGCGAACGAACTTCAACCTGGAGGCGAGTTAGCGTAGCGAACGAGCTAACCTGAAGGCAAGTGAGCACAGCGAACGAGCTCCAACCTAATGGTGAGTGAGCGTAGCGAACGAACTTTAACCTGGACGTAATTGAGTCATGCGAATACTTATGAAGTTAAACGGGGCAAAGCCCGCGGATACAGCTAGTAATATATAAATCAAACTGGAAAAATATGAATACACTAATAATGTATCTTTGGTTTGCTAACAATATCTTACTTTTTGCCACTAATCTGTATTTCATACAATAATGTCCAGACATTCGCTAGAGGCTCGTCGCGGGTGAACTTTCTCTGAAGGATAGCAAGCAGCAAGCAGCAAGCAGCAAGCAGCAAGCAGCAAGCCAGTGGAGAAACTCGACCATACTGATTTACTGCCATGTTGGTTTCAACTTAGTAATTAGAAGACTAAAATACCAATAAGAAATTCCATATCCGCAGTTTCTCTTAACCACTGTTGTCAATACCACTACTGAATGATTCTGATTGGAACCGGGTTATTTGAAGTACAGCGCAGCTTCATGATCATCCATTGTTGTCTGGTTCGATTTGTTTGCTATTTTACAAAGTTCCGTACTGTTTTTCAAATTAATTTAGGCTAGTCCCAGGGTTTAAAGCATTATCAGTTAGATACAATCCATTATTGGTGGGAATTGAACCCGGGACCTCGGGCACAGAAGTTCCATTCCATGTAATATGAATTCTATAACCTGAATAGATACCGGTACTGGGAGTACGGATATTTTAAATTTCCTATGTGTTCTGTAGACTGACATTTCTATATATGTATTTCCAACGACTGAATACGACCTGGTCCTATAACAGCCCAGGTGGGAGCTCGGCTCCCGGGACTGAAATATCACGATATCAATCTGTACTGTATTTCCTTCCAAATTATAACACGCTCGGGCGTGGCCCAGAACTGTTTTAAACACTACTTCAAACCTAGAATCACATAATCTTAAAGCTAAAATACATTACTGTAGTGATTGGGGTAGATTATCCCATAGCCCACTGCAGGCCTATCTTTCAGCAACTGAACATGCTAACATTTGCTTCAGCCTTGGTTCTGGAATCAGCAGTCCTACTAAGAAGAAAACCAGATTATTTTATAAGTAACCAACAAATGCATGGATACAACACCAGACAGAAAAAAGATAGTCATATTCCACAAGTAAACTCAACATTAATGAAAAATAGTGATTCAAACTGTATAAATAAATATTATTGATTTCTGTTCTTCTTGAAAACATGTCTTATTTTTTTCTTCTGGGCTTCTTGCATAAGAGTCTTTAGGGCTTCGTGTTGCACAAATGATAATGT